CGGTCGCCTTGGGCCTCGGACTCGGTCTTGCTGGACGGAGGTCTGAGATGCCCCCGCGCCTGCGGTGCAAACCCCACTGGCTCCTTTCTGCTGAATCTCGGCTACGAACAGCGCAGGTTTTCGGTGGCTCGGAGCCTCCCGGCCGAAGAACCCCTCCAGTAGGCTGTGCCGGCTGGCGCAGGTGGCCGGGCTCTCCCTGGGGCGCAGCGGGAGAAGCCCCAGCGCCACTAATCAGAGCCGGACTTGGGTGTCGGGACGGAAGAAGTGGGCCCCGGCGGGGGGCGCTCACCGCAGGACCCCGGCGGAAACCTCCTGTACCTCGGCTCCCTGCAGCTTAGCGGAACCGCTGCACCGCCCACGCTCTCCCAGGAGGGTGCTCAGGTCCGGAGCCGGAGACTTTGTGCCGGGGTGGGTCGGAGGGGGGATCCGTGCTGCCCCGGGTGGCCGCAAAGCACCGTGTGCTAAAGAGACGGCAGCGTGGTCTACCGGGCCTTGGGTCTGCGCAGAGAAGCCAGGGCTGTCCCAGCCGCAGCCGGGAGGGTCTCCAGGGCGCCCTGCTCCCCGGGTTCCGTTCCGTGGGGACCTCTGGACTCTTTCTGTCTCCGTCCCGGGCAGCAGATGGGCTCCTTTGGCTGCGGGAACCGGCGTGACCTGACCAGCTGTGCGCGGTCTCCTGGGACTGACTTCACCACAGCCACGTGGATGCAGGCTCGGGCGGGGCGCGTGGCGTGGGCAGCGGGGCCGGCGCCTGGTGGGAATGGTTCGTGGGTGTGAGGCGTCCCTGCGCACGGAAACTCTGCTATGCAACTTGCCCCGTGTCTCCCGCGTGGGAACGGCGCTCCTGCGTTTGAGTTAAAGTTTTACAGCAACCCGGGACCTCTTTCTGGCCTGTGTCTCCGTGCGTTCTGAGAAACGAGAATCTCTTTTTGGTGAGGGACGGATAAAGGGACGCTGGAATCCAGGGCCTTTGCCCTGAGCCGCATCTCCTGCCCCTTTTTAATTTTGAGAGCCTTCCCAAGTTCCCCAGACGAGGGGAGGACCAAAGTCGCGACCCTCCCGCCTCAGCCTCCCAGAGACCGGCGTGGCGTGCCACTGCTGCCCTACTTCCTGAGTTCCGTCGGGTGTGGGACGGAGGCAGCGTTTTTCTTACAAGGCCCTTGAATCGCGAGGCGGACCTGCCGGGGTGGGGGCGAGTAGGAAATCTCACGACGTTCTTTCTTGTCGACACCGAGATGTCCCGGTGGCTCTGGGGGGTCTGCGCGTTTCCCGAACTGTGTCTTCTCCCTTCTCATTCATTGACGCCGTGGCCTTGGAGATCTCTGAGTCCTAAGACCCAGGCCCCTGGGCTGTGGCTGGGTGGGTGCCGAGTGTTTGTTGGTTGAGTTGAATGGAAGTGAGGTCTTAGGAAGGTAAACCTCGGTTTCATCGCAGTCGTACCCGTGCTGGGAATTTCAGGTAAATACAAGGCGTACTCATGCCTGGCTTCTTTTGATTTCTTTCGTTGTGGTTGTTGATGTTGGTTTTTTGAGACAGGGTCTCGCTACGCAGTTGAGACTGACCTGGAACTCAAGAGTGTAGCCCAGGCTGGTGTCAAACTCACAGCGATCCTCCTGCCTCAGCCTCCCCAGTGCTGAATGCTGGGAATTTCACGTAAATACAAGACTTTCTCATGCCTGGCTTCTTTTGATTTCTTTCGTTGTTGTTGTTGTTGTTGGTTTTTTGAGACAGGGTCTCGCTACGCAGTTGAGACTGAACTGGAACTCAGAGTGTAGCCCAGGCTGGTGTCAAACTCACAGCGATCCTCCTGCCTCAGCCTCCCCAGTGCTGGGATGACAGGTGTGCGGCACCACGCCCGACACGCCTGGCTTCTTTGCAGCAACTTTATATTTGTGGTAGTTGCCCATACTTTTTTAAAATTATGGTCCAGAACCCCATTAAGCGACTTTAAAGTGATGTATTTATCATTTTGCTTTTGTTTGTGTTTGTAATAATCATGTCATTTTAATAATCATACTTTTTATGTCTTTCATAATTGTATGTTTGGACGGAGTTTGGCCCGATATTTCCATACCTGCCAGGGTCAAATCCAACTGTTCCTACGTCTCCTGCCTCCTCAGCTGCCTTCCCAGTCCCTGGTTTTAACGGTTCTAAATGCAGGTCGTGGGTTGTGGCTTCGGCACGTGGGAAACAAGTGTGGAGCTTCACTGTCTGTGTCCAGCGTCTCCACTGTACCTCAGTGCACCGGTCCGTCCCCGTCCCGGTCCATCGGGGCCGCCGTCTGCCGTCCCACAGCCCGGTGCTGACACCCGGCGGAGCTCGGCGCCCGGTCCTGGGGCCGAAGCCCAAGTCCAGGCGTGGCACCTGACAGTCCAGACACGATACTTCCGTGACAGCTGCCCCTCCACGGCCCCCACCACGTCTCTGGTGCTCTGAAACTCAAGCTGTGGGCTGACTTCCTTCATCCCCGATGGGAAAGTGGACGGGTGTCGGAGTGCAGGTTAGGGCGAGGGTTAGGGTTAGGGTCAGGAAAACACCCAGCGGTACCTCGGCAGTGCGATGTTTTCACAGGAAGACGAGGGGGGAAGTATGAAATGACTTTCCAATGAAAGAGACTCCGCTGCTCACACCTCTGTCTGCCTTCCCCCCAAGGGTGTCATCGAAAGGTATTCAGATTTTTTGCAGTTATTTTAATTATTTTTGGGGTGGGTGGTGCTTGGTTACCCTGTATTGAGATTTTCTAGACTATTTAACATGTATTTGCACCAGGGATTGAGCTCAGCTGTACTGCAACTCCCTGGAAAGCACAAGGTCCTGAGTTCGATTTCTGGTACCCCATAAGAAAATATATTTGCCCAAATGGGGTGGGACATGCCCATGATACTAGGCACCCAGGAGGCTGAGGCAGGAAGGTATCCCTTCTGAGTCCATCCTTGACAACTTAGAAAATAAAAATTATAACAACGCCTACAAGTTTAATAATAATAATAATAATAATAATAATAATAATAATAATAATAAAATAATAATAATAATAATAATAATAATAATAATAATAATATAAAAGTTTGTGTGTACATCAGTACTGCACTGGCGTAGCATGCATTGTGCATAAATAAATAAACCACACATGAATGAATAAATAGCACAGGGCGTGCCATCCACGATTACTGCTCAGTTCCGTGCGTACGGTCCCTGCACCTTGCAGGCCTGAGAGGGAAGAGTCGTCATTTCCAGTCCCGCCTGGACAGTGTAGTGAGGACCTGTCTCCAAATGACAACAGAGAGACCAGTTCGTAAATCAATAAAGGGAGGCTTGGGGCCGGAGCCCGGGATGGAGGCCCGCAGTTCGATCCGCAGGGCGAGAAACAGAACCCACACCCTGGGAGTCCCGTGACTGTGGCTTCCTTTCCACTAACCGCTTCATTTTTTACGCTCTTTTTCTTCTCAGAAATGCTGTGTCTGTTGCTCCAGTAAAGAACTGGCGAGTGATCACTGAGCCGTTGTTGTTTTCAGCGTCGCTGGGGACAGAGGCCAGCCTTGCACCTGCTGGCAAAAACCTCTCGCGCTCAGTCCCAAGCCGGCCGCGGCCGCTCCCCTGTCAGTCTGCAGAAAGCACAGTCGGAGGAGGACCAGGAGCGTGGCCTCAGGTTCTCCTGTCCTCCATCCCCATACTATGTTCCACCTTTTATTTTGCTCCTTATTTATGCTTTCGGTTTCTCACGTAGGAGAGACCAGGCGACTTCTAAGCTTCTGCGTCTGACGCCTTTCGGTTAGTGTTACGGCCTCAGGGCGAGCCGTTTTCCCGCGGTCCCCCTTCTTTGTGGCAGAGTAGTACTCCACGGTGCGCAGACACCGCATTCTCTCCCTCCGTACGTCTGCTGCTGTGCGGAGAGGCTGCTCCGAAGAAGTAGCTGTGACGACTTTGTGGACAGACGTTTCTTAAGTGATTGACGTGCAGAGTTGAGCTGAGAACGGACCCCATTTTCTTTTTTTTGGGTACCGGGGATTGAACTCAGGCCCTTGTACTTGTGAGGCAGGTGCCGGAAACACTGAGCTAAATCCCCAGCCTTGACCCCGTGTTTAAAGTAATGAAGGGGACAGGGAACAGACAGAGAGAGACGGAGAGGGAGAGGGAGAGGAGACATCGATATCTCCCTACTGCCGGGTGCCTGTTGTGATCACCAGCACGTCTTTATCAGGAAGCAGCCTCGCGTGAGAGAAAAGTCCACACTGCACAGCCTGGGTCCAGAGGACTTTCGGTCGCTGCTTCCCGACAGGCCGAAGTCCACTCTTTTATTTGGAATCGTTTAATATGTAACTTTGTCCCATCCCCGGCCCTTTAAGAACGGTTTCTCTGATTGTCACAGGAATGAGAAAATCTCCTAAGATCGTAAATCTCTATTTTAAAGACACGTGCATTTTTGTGTGAGTTTGTTGTTCAGATCGGGTCTCGCTCTAGAGCCCGGGCTGGCCTTCAATTCACAGGGATCCTCCTGCCTCAGCCTCCCAGGTGCTGGGGGACAGGCGGGCCCCACCACACCCGGCTCAAGGTGCCTAAGCTGAAGGCAAGTTCTGTGTTCTGTGTCGCTAGCTGTAGACTGAAACTCAGACACAGGCCCCGTTTCCTTAGCTACACTGAGGACAAATTTATTAACGCTTTTCTTAGCAAAGTTAAAGAATAAAAGAAAAGGACTGGGCAGCTTCTGCCCGGCTAAGAAACCGCAGACAGAAAAATCCCAGCTGTTAGAAACCCACGCGAAAGCCGGTTCCGCTTACAAAGCCGACTTTATTGACTGTGGCGTGGGAACTGTCCCATTTCAGATAAGCAGTTTGGTGATTTTTTTTTTTCCTGCCTTTGTAAATCTACCACATTTTGCAGCCACGGCCCACCCTCCAGCTTCCTGCTGTTTCCTAAGAGACGGACTGCGCGCTTTACGATCCAGGCAGCGGAGCTCATTTCCTTTGCGAGCCGCATCTGCAGCTGGGCTGGGACCCCGGGACGCCCACGTGCTGCGCAAGCGCACTGAGCCTGCGCCGAGTGTACCCCCTGCCCCCGCTTTCCTTTTTGCAAACCGTGCCGGGGTCTGCGTCGGCCTCTCCGAGTTCACCCAGGGGCGATTGTAGCCGGGGTGGGGCGCGAGAGCCGAATCGGTGCTCGGTTCAGCCCCGACGGCCTCGGGTGACCTGAAGCTCCCCTGTCCGCTCGTGTGCGGATGCCGGCCGCGTCCTGTGGGCAGCGCAGACTCGGGAGCGGAATGGACAGAAATGTTCACCGTGGCTGTTAAAGGGTGCACAGATTTTTGCAAGCAAAGTTTTCTACATCATCACCTTTCCCAGAGAAGATTTATTCAAAACAGAGAATGCCTGTTCATTTTTCTTCCTTCCTGTTGTCTGCGGTGTCCGTTTGATGTCCGGTGCTGTGGCAGCCTTCTTGGCGCCAGGAGGACTACATCCTAGACTAGAGACCACACGGAAGGAAGTGGGTAGGGACGCTTCTGTCTCAGAGTCCGGGCTTCTGGGGTGTGTTGTCCCCGTCTTCCTGACACCCACAGAAGGGGAAGGTCCCACAGCACGGCTGCAGCCAGGGCCTCCACAGGACCCTGCTGAGAGACAGCTGCTGGGGCACTGGGCTCAGGGTCTCCCGGTGCTCTGCCACGGCCGCATCCACCCTGGCAACCACGGTGTGGAACAGGGGCTCCGAGTCGGGGGACAGGGGCCAGGCCTCTGCAGGGTCACTGGACAATTCAAAGAGCAGAGGCGGGCGGTGGTGGATCACGCCGTCCCCGGAGCAGGGACACACGCCGTGGCCATAGCAGGCACCGGCTCCTGGGGGGTGGAACCGCGGCGTTGTGTAGTGGACCTTCCAGACTCGGCCACCTGCACAGAGCAGGCGGTCAGCGTGGGCCACCGGCTGAGGTGGGGACCGATCTAACCACGCAGCCACTGACCCACGCATCCACCCATCACCCAACCACCCCAGGCCTCCGTGTCCCAGGTGCCGCCAGGGTCCAGCCCCAGGCAGGGCCACGTGGCCTCACCGTCCCTCTGGTGCCAGCGTGCGGCGTGCAGCTCGGTCCCGCAGTAGTGGAAGAGGAACTCGTGGCCCGACTGCCCCTCCTCGCCTCGCAGCAAGGGCAGCAGGCTGCGGCCGTCGATCACCCTGGAGGGGGCAGAGGCCACAGGAACGGGACTGCGGGAAGAGTTGGCAGCAGGGACCCTCTCGGAGGCTGCCGGGCCCGGTGCCCGCTGCGCAAGACACAGGCTGTTGCGGGACACCCGAGCCGCCGTGTCACTTTGCCAGCTGCCACACCTCGAAGGCTCACAGGGCCACAGGCGTGCACACACAGAGGCACACAGCGCACACACGCGCACAGCGCACACTCACGCGCACCCCGGTGTGGCCCCGGCTACTCGTGCCATCTTCCGGGGTTCCAGCCGGGCCGCCTCACTTGCCGTCAGGCTTTCTAATGGGCCTTTTATTTGTCCTTGGGTTGCTCACACAGGAGAAGCCTAGCGGTACTGAACCCCGCCTGTCTGATTTATTTCACGTGACGCCACGGTCTCCAGGTGCCTTTTCCTACCCGGGACCTCGCCTCTCCTTCTTGGTGGCAGAGTAATACTCCACATACGCATACGCACACGCGTACACACGCATCGAGGCGCCCGTGTTTAAGCAGCTCACGAGCTTGCGACCTGGGTCACACTGCGTCCTCGATGGGCCAGACGGCAGCGGTGTGTCCTCAAAACCAGGCTGATGTACAAAATGGGTTACCGAGAATGGACCACGAGCGGCGGCTGGGCAAATATTTTGGTGTCGTCTCACGTCTGGCGGGGTGAGGTCCCCTTCCATTGCACTGTACCCCAAATCCCCATCTTTATGGTTCCTGTTGTTTGTTTAGAGGGGAGGTTTCGTGTGTGGACCCAGGGCTTCGGCCCGGGCTGCCCTCAAACTCACCGACGTTCTCCTGCCTCAGCCTTCTGCATGCTGACTAGGACAGCTGTGCACCACCACGCCCGGCTTTTGTGTTATTATCGTTTTGTTATTTTGTGCTCGTGGGGAGGGAACTGAGGACCTAACGGGCTGAGCCAGTACCCTACCACTGATCTGCACCCCAGCCCGGGAGAAAGTACTGCCCAAGCCTCAGGATGCCCCTCGTGTGCTGCGTGGGGCACGGCTGAAATCCCTGCACGCTGGGAGGCTGAGGCAGGAGGATCTCTAGCTCAAGCCCAACCTGGGCAAGTCAGCAATCTAGCGAGACGGGGCCCAAAGGTACGGAACTATCACACAGCCCACGGAGGGACTGAGGCGCCTACCTGTCCTGGGGCACCTGGCCGCCCGCCAGCTGCACCACGGTGGGGAAGACGTCCATGAGGCTGGTGGGCTCGTGGATCTCTCGGCCTGGGGGCAGCACCCCGGGCGCTCAAGCCCAACCTGGGCAAGTCAGCAATCTAGCGAGACGGGGCCCAAAGGTACGGAACTATCACACAGCCCACGGAGGGACTGAGGCGCCTACCTGTCCTGGGGCACCTGGCCGCCCGCCAGCTGCACCACGGTGGGGAAGACGTCCATGAGGCTGGTGGGCTCGTGGATCTCTCGGCCTGGGGGCAGCACCCCGGGCGCGCGCAGGAGCCCGGGGACGCGGATGCCGCCCTCCCAGCCCCCCATGCCTTTGCCGCCTGCAAGAGAGAGACGGGGGTCAAAGACACGTATTTCATTCAGCACTCTGGGAGGCTGAGGCAGGAGGGTTGCAAATACAAGCCCAGCCTGGGAAAGTTGGCAACTCACTGAGGCTCAGGCTCAAAGTTAAAATGGACAGGAGGCAGAGGCAGCACGATCTCCTGCTGGCGTCTCATGCGTCCACCTCCTCTTCCTCCTCCTCCTCTTTCTCCTGTTCCCCAGTACCCGTCCCGCCTCCAGACCCCGTCTGACCTCTGTAAATTCCGTTCCATCCCCCAAGCTGCTGGCTTCCATCCCTGGCCTCCAGGTGTCCTCCGTGGTCGGACGCGAAGTACGTAAGCGTCGTGTTGGTCAAGCCGTTCCGCTCCAGGGTGTGGAGGATTTTACCTTCGGACAACAGGCAGGTGTCAGGGCAGAGCACGCACACCCGGCCGGCTCCGTGCACCTCGCCCATGGTGTCCAAGTCACCTCCTGCTGGACAGTCCCGAGAGCAGTCACGGGGCGGTCACCACGAGAGGGCTCCGTGGACTTGAGGCCACGCCCCTCGTGGTGCCACCAAACGTCTGCATGTCGAGATGCCACCCACCCAAGAGCCGGAAGCAATGGAAACAAATAAAGCCACTGTCGGCAGCAGTCCTGGTCTGGACGATGTTGTGTCTGCTTTACTGGGGCTTGTGATTTTAGACGATTCAGTCCGTGGTCGGCTGCCCCAGTGGTCTCGGGACGTCTCTCTCCTTCGGGACTCTAAACTGAGCACGGAGACTATGTCGCGTGGCCCTGAAACTCAGCAAGTGACGCAGCCCCTTTTTCCCGAGCGCATAGTATTCCACCGTGGGAAGGCACGACTTTTCTTTTCCGCTTGTGTGCAGGTGGACACTGGCTGGTGGCAGAGCTGGCGGAGCTGTGTCTGGCGGCTGTGGTTTCTGTGTTCGTGTCGCTCCACACTGCTGTCCACTGTCATCCCGCGATGCGGGACGACGCCGCTGTCCCCACCTCCCCGCCGCCCGGTGCCCCC